TTGTATTCCATAGGGAATTTTCATTTTAGTTAATTCTCAAATCGTTTTCTACCTTCTAATTCGCCTCTAATCAGCTCGACATTTGCATGTTTGATACCGGTATACTTGGGTAAAACGATTTTCGGAAATACGAAATGCGATTTAGAAATTATGTGAACTTCAGACCCATTAAGCCAGTTAGTCAATTAGTTGGAATCAACCAGTTCATTGAAAGTCCTAGTTTTTGTTAATGACCATTTAATTTACCCCAATTAACTATAACCAAAATTTCAGGATTTTGATACATGAAAGAAATTTGGATGTGAAAACATGCTTGAATTGTTATACCTTTTATGGTCCAAAATCAACAACGATACCATGTGTGTCCAAGTAAACAGAAATATTTGATAACAATATAACATTTTCATTTTTATCATTAAGTAAAACAGCATCATTGGACCAAATGACACAATTGTATATTTCACGTAATAAAACATCATCTAATTAAATAAACCATAGAAAAGCACTTGTATTAGATTTGTTGTAAAATGGATAAAGGCTTTGTTATGCTATATTCCTAATGGATTGTCTATTACGTCAGTACCATCATGCCAGAAGACCAAGTGTTCCATTGATTATATTTGCAGATAAATCATCTGCGCTGAAGTCATTAAGCAGCTTTAAGTATGCATGAGTAAGTTAATACAGCATTTACGTCGTTCATATACCCTGCTACTAACTAGTAAACATTGATATTTCATGCCACGCTTGATAAGGGTTTCAAACTAGAGAGTTTATACAGTCTCGACTAAACAAAACTTCTATAGTCACAGTCGAAAGAGTTAAACATATCGATTTAAATCAGATGTGTGTATATCTCGATAGAACTTCTATTTTTGTCATCCTGATTAACGCAGTAAAATCATCTAAGCATTTGATAAGACAACAGTATGGAATACCACAAGAAAGAGTGCATTCTCCAACTCGGTGCTGATCAGTTTGTAGTTCCGATGGAATCTGTTCTCGAAACCTTTGGTCCAAAAATGGAAATATTTCTTGACACAACGTCTAAAACTGATACGTACGTGAAATACGTGATAAGGAGACCCAAGGATTCCACTATGGCCCTAATAGAGTATTGCTATACTGGACAACTACACATTCCTCAGAACGTCTGCAAAGGAAAGTTTCTAACAGAACTTCGATTCTGGGGTATAAGATACAGACTGTTAGAAACGTGTTGTTATCACAAGCTCTGCGTATTCTTGAACGATCAAAAGAAGCTTAGAGGATTCGAAAAAATGTACATGGGATCAGAAAGCAGCAAGCCTGGTCCTAAGCCAAATGGTAGAATCATGGAACGAATTTGGGGTATTGTCAACTGTGATCGGAAATCAAAATGTTCAAAGGTATGCTGTCAATGTTGCTATTTGCTCCAAATTGTTTTTCTTGCCAGCATACTCATTGTTGGTATTGTATGCTGTTAAAACAGAAACTATAACAATGATTGAATTAGGGTTTTAACACCTTCCCATCTGAAATCTGACTTTTTTCAATTTGAATTTACTGAATCACCTCATTGTTTTTAACAAATTAGGCCATTAGCAGCTCTGCCGAGTCCTAGAATGACGAGAAATCTAGATGATGCAGTTATATTTAATATCAGACTATATTTCATCTATTTCTGAATTTGCGTTCAAGGTACCATTTACTTGTTTTTCTTTTGTACAATTTGCTCTTTGTTATCTAGAATTAACTTTCATTGATATTTTCTTCTGTCTTTGTTTAAACATTAGTTATAACTTAAGAGTGATGTGGAAACTGTTGGCAAATATCTATCAAACATGAATATAATAATTACAGTTGATATCAGTGATATACCTTACATTTTCTGTGTGATCTATGTTACGCTCGAAAAATCGTTTATCTATTTACTTCAAGATTTACTTCCGCGTGTCGACGACCATTGTGCTGCTGATGATTGCCGTACTCGCCATTACAAGCATGAAAGATGTATCTGAGACTACACAACAGAACATATCTACGCAACCAGGAGACATGAACTGCTCAACAACCTCTGATCCATTACCAAATATCAGTTCAACAGTGGATGAAGACACTTTAATGATGTCATCTATTATAGAGAACAAAGCCCCGACAAAGGTGTTATATCCTCCTATGATAATTCGCGTAAATTGCGATCTTTGTGGTACGCTTACTTTGAATTCACATGATAGAAGAGACGACTTTAGAGTAGAAAATACAAACATATACCTGCACATCCCAAAATGTTGCAAGTCATATGTAAGACCATCTATTCCAAAAGCAAGGAGCGACATAGATGAGTCGCCTACCGACTATCATAACAACGAAGACCTATATCCATTTCATAATCCTCACTTACCTGTTAACACGGAACGTAGAAATGAAAATACCTTCAATCAAGCAGAACAACTGAATGAAACGCACCTAACTTCGACCAAAGCAAATCTTAATCCGGGCACTGTCCAGATAACTACACTCTCCTTATCAAACAGATCCTTAGATAGCCTACCAACAGCAAATCTAAGTATCGTAATAACGAATTCCACCAAGATTATACGTGATGAAAACGTCCAGAAAAGCATTTCTAGTGTTTTACAAAAGGTACTTTCTATTTCAAAGGAAAAATTGTCCTCCTTCGCCTCAGCATTGAATGCAAGCAATACTGTACATGTTGAATATGCTCTGTGTCATTATACGGAATACGTCATAACGGCATTTTTTACCGTTGAATTTGTTCTCAGACTCATTACGTGTCCAAACAAAAAAGAATTCTTTTTTGGTGTATTAAATTGGATAGATTTTATCCTGCTGCTTGGAAGCTTTGGTCGAATTCTGTTGGGATTATGGAGTGATGTAATGACGGCGATGACTTTTTTGTATGACCTCCTCCTTTATTTACAAATGTTTCGTGTGTTGCGCCTTTTTCGGACAATAGAACATGTCAAAGCATTTAAGGTCCTTCGGTATTCTCTTGCGACTGGATTGAACGATATTTGCGTCCTGGGAATGTATATCCTGGTAACGATGTGCATTTTTGCCAATTTTATTTACTTTGTGGAAAATAGATCGGATTTTCCAAGCATTCCCGCGGCGTGGTGGTGGAGTATAGTGACAATGACAACGGTAGGCTACGGGGATATGATACCACAAACAGTGTTAGGCAAGTTGATTGGATGTTTTTGCGTTCTCTCTGGTGTTGTGTTGTTTTCTCTCATCATACCAGTATTTGTCAGCACGTTCCTCGCAGCCTATGAATATGCAAACGGGTCGCAGGACGACGATGAAACAAAGGAAGATTTGATATCTCATGTAAGTGCTTGCAAACAGATCAAACATCTTGAAGCTATGTGTCGCCAACAAAAACAAAAAGAAATTGATCGAAGATGTGATGTAAAGATATGCGTCCACTACAAGAAACAGGTGCAAAACACAAACAAAAATTTACAACATGAGTCAGTAGGGAAAATCTCAAAAGAAAAACTGCAAAGGAAATATGCAATGAAAAGCGTGGTGACGACTCACATTTGAGAATATCTTAGATCAATGACTAGTCTTAATTCAATTTAATAACTTTATAACAACTGCTACTATATCAATATCAATACTTTTGCCAACAATTGTATATACTATTTCTGATGTCCAGTACTATACTTTCATCGCTGAATATGCAGGCAGTTTGGTGTCATGCTATCTTTTCCAGGTCATTCCATTTCGATGAATTGGTGATTTAAGTTGCGATTGATAACCTTCATGTGAACGTTATAGTTGAATAGATAAATCATGTCCCCATTCCGAACAAAACAGATGTTCCTTAAAGAATGTCTCTTTGAGGTAGAGCTATTATGATAGAAATGCGAAATGCGAAAATATGTATGTAAATTTGTTTTGTTATTTGCCACTGAAATATGATAAATTTCGGAAGCAATCTAATGTTAACTGTATATATATATATATCACCTAATCATGGTTTACTTTTCTTTTAACAGCGTAGTTTTTACGATTTAATCAGGAAATACAAAACATTTAAAGATGGATGAGTATAACATAGAAGGTGATTATACGGTTTAATATTTTAGGTCAAATTTCGATCGTTATTGCTATTAAATGTATAAATAGGCGGCCTTTTAAAATCATTGTAAATAATTCAATATCTATATAGCTATCATCAATAACTAATAGGAGGTCACCACGATGTTAAGCCCCAAGACAATCAAGTTGATGGGCAATTATTTATCAGTGGTTCATTAGAAATAATTTGGCATCGATAATGTATTATTGTCTAGATTTTAAAGGTCATAGCAATTTCCATTACTAACTTGAATTAAATACACAATATTAATAGGTTAATGAAACTGGAGACCCTTACCGTACCGGAACTCCTGGTTTTATCCTTATCTTGTTCATATTCTGCCCTTATTTGATCTAATTTGATTGGAATAAGAATACAGCTTTTGTTGACATTACTTACTTTGTATTTTTACTTATTATGTTTGTTTATAAAATTGCATACTTGCGCATTTATATGTAACCTTTCTGTGCTCCTAATGTTGCGGACATCCGCAATTGCACAATATGAATTATTTCAAAATATATAAAAATCGACGTTATCTAATTGCAATTTTACAATTTGTCTCGCTTACAGATTCATTGCAGAATAATGATGTTTTATCGTAAGGGCTATAAACCAACATTTCCTCCATCAAACATTGGTTCTTGTTCAAAACAATCCTAACACCTTCGTTATCGTAAATTCTTACCAATATGAGGATCGAGGAAAATCCACTTAACCATATCCAGTAAAATATACTATATCCTTAAAAACATATATTAAAGGATTGAGATTATTTCAAATTTTATATCATTATTTGCTAATAATTATATTTAGGTCGTTATTGAAAGCGTATTGTTTGTGTGCTGCAAACAGCTCTGCGTGTATACACCATTCTCCAGATATAACAAACATATGACTTTGAAAAAAAAAAAAAAATGTTTATTGTTCTAAAAATTAACAGCACAATAAAACAAACTGTCCTCATAGAACAAGGTCATCACTCGTGACATTCTTTTTGCACTATTATCTAAATTAATCTAACCAGTCATGTTTAATATCTAATAATAGGCCTTTTAAATCTACATTTCGTGATAAACTCATTATTTCGTTCAATACAACATAATCCATACACCAGCATAAAATATACATCTCAATCAAAAGACCAACACAGTTTACAAGCGATTTCAAATCTTAATTGATGTCATATAAGTTAAAGAGTAAACTCCTATTCTTTTCTACCAATTTCCATATAGAAGATATGCATTCCAACATTATTAGTTTATCATTTGTTGGGTTACGAAAAAAATGGTGGAAAGAAAGGTTTCAGGATTCTAATACGCACGAGACTGTCAATACATCTACAGCTAAACGTTGCCAAGGAAACAGAAAAAACAGGTGAGAAGTAAAATACTGGTAGTTACTATACTAAGTAGTACAAGTCGTTGATAGAGAAAATAGACAACTACCATTTCTGTTTGTGGTTGTGGGTGAGAAATTTCAGGTGTCGAATGTCACTAAACGATAAACTTATATTTCGTTCAATGCGGTTTGGGAACATGTTATTTGCCAAGTATTTACAGAGAATTGTATAAAGATAATTTGTAAAGATTGTTTTAACGACATTGTTCTTTATCCCTTGTCTTGTCTTCTGTTTCTGAGCATAACTTCAAACATGAGAATACTCGTATTGTCTTATATCATTCCCAACGAATGTATTGCCATTCGAGAGGATTTGTATTACAGAATGAAGACGCGATTTCAGCATTAGTTTCCTTGATCGAATAAGTACGATATCTAACCTTGTCAGCCTCTGAGATCATAATGTCATGTACACGGCTCTTTAAATCTATTGCTGTGATAGCGAAAACATCTTTCTTATATATAATAAGAACAAATAATACTTCAGCACTAGAACGCTGGACGAAAAAGGCCGATGATTTGTAGACAGCCTGACGTTAGATATAAACCATGGAAGACAAAACTCCCGATATGAATACAAAAAACGTGTAAAATGACAAATGGAGAGATGATACATTTTGCACCGCACCATTATCAACAAACAAGGGAAGCAAAACTGTTGTCGTCGAAGACAATTACACTTTGTTTAGAATGGATACAAAAAATAAATTATTATCGAAAACAAGGGAGATAACTGTCATCCAAAAAAGGATTAATAGCACTGGTATTTGTATTTATTAGAAAGGGGAAACATCTTTCATATTGTGAGACAATGGCGCTAAAATCAGTCCATTCATCAGTTTCGACCAATTAGGGAGATCACGCCTTTACACCAACATAAATAAGAAAACACACGTATACACATTAATTAAGGACGAACAATAAATAACAATATCCTATGACGTCATTCTTATCAAACATGACGTTCGGACCATTCGCTCAACACAATGAGATGATAAGTAAATATTACAGTGTTAGTGATGAGGCGATTCAAGAACATCTAACCACAAGTATTACATCAGCTAGGTCGGCGTTTAAGTCGCTTCTGGTATGTCTTTTTTATAATGTCAGCAGCTTTTTCTGCTACCATGACAACGGGTGCGTACGATGCACCGGAAAGAGGTGTAGGTAGTACTGATGCGTCGACGACCCGCAGTTGATGTATACCTTTTACCCTGGAAACACATATAAGTAACAATCTCATACAATGTGATTTTCTAAATAGCGATACACATAAAATCTAGAATGTTTACCGAAGATCAGACATATATGTTGTTACTTTATATATTGGTTTATTGTTAAAAATGTTAAAGATAAAGAATGGGATCAGGGAAATTGGTATATGTAGATTAAAGCAATGATTTATATCATACTGTCAGCAGTTATCATCATACAGGAATACTTAAAAAAAGGACACAAAGAGAACCGTTTGCAAATAACCCATCTAGACCTTATGATATTTTGAGTTATCTCCCTTTATTAAGTCGCTACAATCTTTTTGACTGATGAGTATCCTACCTCAACTGGAGATCTACGACTGTGGAGTTGTCAGCTACATCCCCCATTTTACATGTGCCCCCAACAGTCTCCGAGGATACCGCCAGGTAACGGATCAGGCACTCGTAGTACGGGTCACTGTTGACCCTATGTTTAGAGCATTTGGATAGAACTCTTCTAGGAAGCTTTGGATCCAATCTTCTAAATGCTTTGGTTCTTGTTAATTTGAAAGCAAGCTTCATTCCTGTTATGAATAACAATAAAAAAAACGTTGAAGGGTGCAATAACATTAGATTTTATCAACATTTAGATGGAAATCGGTTGTTTTGGGTTCTCTTACTATATAATCCTTGCCATTGCCAGCATGTATATTATATAATTTTAATGTTTAGGTTTATGCGAAATTGATCACTTCAACTGACCTTTGATAAGAGCCTTGACGTCATCAGGATCTTCAAGATAGTGTGGGTCGATGGTTGGATGTTCGAATGGGTTAGTGCTCTTTAGTGTGACCCTCCCAACACTAGCAGGTGTAAGTAGCTGTACTATCAGCATCATCCCCTCCTTGTGGTCGTCATTGTTCTCCGACAGATCACTCAGGATCTGGTGCGAATATAAAGAGTAAATCGTCAATAGTCTTAAAATTTTATAAATATATAACCTTAAGTCTTTACAGTAGGACCTCAATGTTTAAGATCATTCAAACTACTTTCCATAATAAAGACAATAATACTGTAAAACGGTACTATGTGACCAAGGAAGATTGTTACGCAGTTATTCAATCATATTCTTGAAAAAATCCCTTGAAGAGTAAAAAACAACACCGATATTGCCATCAAATACATGTGATACTCACATTCTTTTTAAGATTCCAGTCGAAACCTTCCCACACTTCTGGAATTGTTGCCATCCCAGAGATCAGTAAATCTGGTGTTACATCCCCTTCTTCGGATGATGTAAAAATGTGTCCAAAAATTCCGGCAGGCATCGGTAAATAACCTGTGTAATGTTTTAATATATTAAATGTTTTGTGACAACAAACGGTAAAAATGGTTAATTTTTTTAAGACAAGGATTATAGAAAGGACACCGACATTTTTGCGAACAGCTGATTTTCCCAAAGGAAAGTCATAGAGGATATCCTTTGTTTCTTGATGGGTAACAGTTCTATTTCGTCAAGATGGCAAGTGGGATGGAAATTTGGATATTTTTGCATGCTCATTTCCATTGGTGCCAGATTGAATTTGCCGCTCTTTCTACAATTTGAAGTGTATTATCTGTTACCATTATTTTGCCTGAAATATTGTTCACATCTCAGACATTATTTAAAATTAAGTTAGTATTTCATGCAATGTATGGCATTGTCTGATAATTCAATTAAGATTTTGTACAAAGGTGAAATATCACTTAAAACCGTAAAACCATATGTTTCACTGCGGAAATCTAAAAAAAAAATAGGCGCATTTAACATTTTAAATAACATAGATATATCATAGTCAGCTGGTTTTCATAACAGAGTGTTTGTTCAAAAGATTTCATGATATGAACTAGTTTTTAAACATAAACCTCGGTGTAAATTAAGTGAAATGCATCCGATCTTTAAAAAACATGCTGAGGAGATATGCTCCCTTCCGTTACAAAATGCTGCTTGCGTCATTGCTGGAAAAATAACAGCTATCACTCAAAAATCTTTTATAGCATGGATAACGTTTCGAATGACCTGTAATGGCACATATCCTTCGTGCACATGAACTATATACAGTAATTCATAAAATGGACGGTATCTTTTAGATTTATTGAGGCATTTTTTAAATTCAGCAATTAACAACTACACTGGCTTTTATAATGTAAACCAATAGATGAATTTGTAACTGTATATTTACCTGCACCGGACACCTTATATTTCATACGGCTGATGACGCTTGTGGATCGAGCAGGCGTTATAGTGAAGCTCTCGTTGATGAACACCCGCATTGGAACCATCAAACCATCATACAGGTTCTCTCCCACCGGAATCTCCGAGTGAGGTGACACCTGTATAAATATACCCCTCCTTATCATTATCATTGTGTTTGTAGAGTTGTACAAAAACACATACAACGGCATCGTCCATTTAGGGCGATTCACATGGAAACCCAAAACGTAAATAAGATAATAAAGATTACACAAAAATATGAGGAAAGAAAATTAATTTAGTAAATCGTTTAAAATTTCTGAAATATAAAATATCTAAAATATTGAGACGGACCTAATATCTGAGTGATATTACCAGATATATACCTTAAGATCAGAGAGGAGATCCTTGGGCCCTACACCTGAAAGAATAAGGATCTGTGGTGTGGCCACTGGTCCAGCAGACAGGATCACCTCATGTGTGGCTCCGGCTATTTCTCTCCGGCCGTTCCTTAAAAACTCCACACCTACCGCTTTTCCATTGGATATCAGCACCTTCATCGTGTCAGAGATATAAGTGATGGACATACATTAAACGATAGTCATGGATTTTATGTCCGAATTATCACAAAAATTAGCAATGCCTTTTAAATCAGGTCAATATATAAGCAAGTGAGAACAACACAAAAATATTACTATTTTGATTACAACACAAAGGAGAGATATAAGTAAACTCTTAGAGTTTCGTGTCTATCATCAGGCGCTCAGTGCCATAAGGTCATACAGATTTACAGATTATAAATGTTGATTTTTCTCTACTTTTTTCCTTGGTCCATTTTTTGTTGTTGTAAAGCCCGTATAGCTCAGTGGTTAGAGCACTGGTCTCGTAAACCAGGGGTCGTGAGTTCGACTCTCACTGTGGGCAAGTCTCTTTTTACTGTTTTAATAGATATAAAAAGTCAAAGGGAATTATAAAGAATATGTGGAACAAATAAGATTTTTAAAAAATGCGTAAACAATACTATTGCAAAAATGAAAGGAACTATATACTTACATAATGTTTCTTTTTTTACATGCGAAATTATTTGCTTCGAACTTACCTTGGTAACGTGAGCAAAAAGAGCAACATGAAGGTTTGGTCGAGTCATGGCTGGTCTGAGAAAGGCCTTAGAGGCACTCACCCGAACTCCTTTCTTCGTGGTTGCTTGTACTCCACAATAACCTAGATATGACCAAGATAACACATAATGTACTTACTAGAGTAACACGGGATAATAATAGATTATGTTGCATAATTACATGCACATCAGGTAAACAGTCCAACTGACCATTACATCAAGAAATTAATACCACTGACTCTTGGAAATTGTAAAAATGTTTTAATTCGTGATTTTGCTCTACTGTGTCTGATCCTAAATTTGTATTTTACTTTTACATTTTAGTTTACATTACTGTAAGTAACTGAAATATTGACACTACATAAGACTTACCTATAGATTCTTTGCCATTGCAGTCGATGTCTTTGTAGCCAAGTTGCTGAGCTGCTTGTCGAAAGGAGTCGTCCAGAGGTGAATGTGGACTTGATACTGGCGTTACAATTAGAGGACCCTTGGCGGCGTGATAGGCTAAGTTAAAGTCACAATACACAAGAGTTAGGGATTATCATAGCATACCATCGAACTAATATTGCATTCATTGTCAAAAATCCGTCATATTTATGTGAATTCTTAGGAGGAGCAGCTGAATATGATGCTACAACTTGGCTTGTCTTTTATTGTATTCATCGCCACAGTGTGATTAACCGGAGCAGTATCTGTGATAACTTTCGCTTTAACTTTCTCTTCAGATTACCATACTTACCAGAAGGTTTGAATTGCTCCCCCTCATTGTCCTCAGACTTGAGGAAGTATGGAATGACGTCACGGAAGCCCCATCCCTTACAACCGGCTTTCTCCCATTCGTCGTATCCTTCCTTACTTCCTCGGAGGTAGAGCATGTTATTCAGGATACTGGTCCCGCCCAGGGCACGCCCCCGTTGGATACGAATGGCCTGTCATATAAGTAAGTGTAAAATATCAACACCATAAGAATCTTTGTTATATGAAGAGCAACTTCCGATAAAATCAACCTTCATTTCGTATAGCTAAAATTCAAAAACAAGCTATGTGAATGTTGTATTGCTTTGAATAATACAATAAAACAGGACGAACGGATCAATGTCAAAACACAGAAGGAAATATTCTCCAAACAAAGTCACTAGGAGAAGGAAGCGAAATCATCAAAACTGAATGATAATAGAATGTTCCGCGCGATCTTAAATTGATTACGTCCCCGGTTTATGTGTTGTTATCAATGGAGATTCTCGACACTGCCCTGGGGTCCGATATTGATACGAAGACTGTCAAGTACTAGGTTAGTGCCAAGAAATGTTAAGGACTTTCAAAAAATAAATCATTTGGGGTTGATGTATCACTCACAAATATTTTATATTGTCCTTACAATGAATTGCCATTGCTTGGACGCAGTAGCATGATACGTGAACTGGTAATATTACACTGAAGTCGAGCTAACCAGATTTGATCATTTATCTAAGGCGACACAACTGCTCAACTGGAAGTGCGTCCGCCTTAACAACCTCAGATGAAGGTCTGTCAGAAGTGTACGATTAGATATCAGGATACTGAAATTAGGAATATTTCTGTGTTGCAATGGTTGTGTCCGAGGACTCATTTTTATGTTTATTCTCAATGATGTACAGCGGGTCATCTGCATGACTTGGGCGGTCGCACAATACTGAGGCCGAAATGAGTAAATGTCATGTCAGACCTTAGGGAGGGGAAGAAGATAAAACGTGACGATGACAACGGTCACCTTGCAAAACAAATAATAGACAAGTGTGATATACACTGGGCACAAACGTTTTAGGAATCACTTTTTACAGATAATTTTTGCATCAATAGGCAAAAACTTTATATGAAATACAGGAGTGAAGTCGGACAATATACAAGCATGTAGAATATGATTTAAATAAAAAGTTCATAGCCTTTTCAAACAAAGTGAACGTTCCGATGGTGCCAAAAATTCAAAATGTTTTAGTGGGTTCAGCAACACTATCAACAGTGAGTGTTGAAGAACATCAGCAAGCTCCTGGCGGTTGCCAATCGGTAATGCTTTGCTGCAACATGTCCTATGCATGCTCGATCGGGTTAAAGTCGAGCGAAAGACTGACCAGTCCATACGCTCGCTAGTTTCTGTTTGAAGGTACTTATTCACAAATCCTTTTAGCTCTGTGTGATCGAGCATTTTCTGCCATCAGTACAAACTCAGGGCCGACAGCACCCAAACAAAGGGCCATACAGTTGGATGAAGGGTTTCATCCCAGTACTGTTAACCTTTCAGGCTACCACCTTCAATCACGTACAAGTCAGTCCGGCCATCAAAACTGATCCCTACCCACACCCTTACCTAGCCTACACCGAAACGTTCATGATCAGTGACGCAGTAGCCAGCATACCTCTCGCCCAACCCACGCCAAACATGCCTTCTGCCATCAAGACGTCCACACAAAACCTTGACTCATCCGTCAAAAAGAATAAGCCGCCACTGGAACAGTCGTCAATTCACATGGTCAGCTGCTAATTGCTGCCAAGCTCTACCGGAACATCGTGAGAGTCGAGGGCGTAAAGCGGGTCTGTAAACGCGTGGTTCGGGGCTGTGAAGTTTATTCCTTACTGTGCAGAAATTCTTCTTCCAGTTGGTTGGCGAAAGTTGTTATTCAACCTTATGGAACTTGCCAACCGATTTCGCTTAGTGAGAGTGCCTAAATAACTTTCCTGGTGGGCATATCGAACACCGTAGTTTACCCAATCAAGATCCCTTGGTGACGTTTCCGATCATCTAGAATCGATTCCATAATCGAGAAATGACATTCTGTGAGACATTGCAGTGTGCAGCCACAGTTCGTTGTGATTGTCCTGCTTGCAGTGTCTCGACTGCTCGGCCAACCTCTGCATGCTGCATGTGACTCCTTATGCTAACAAATGTTCAAAACAGGATGCAAAATAATGAGACATTCAGAAGAAACACAAAATTTGTTGATTGACTTGGCATTGAGTCCACACAGACTTTCAATAAAAACTACAATTGATATACGATTTTAACCCTGTGTTACATGTCTTACCGCACGTCTATCGTAGGATCCACGGGCAAATCGTTACAGAAAAGTCATTGGTCATAAAAAGGTGGTTAATGAGTGTCAAGTTTAACCTATTTTAATGGCAGAAAAAAAGCACATATACTTATGATCGTTCACTTTCTGTGTGCAATATATTTTCTGGTTTGGTAAAACATCATCTTTCTTTAGTTGTTACTGATTTTAAATATCTCTTGATAGAATCTGACTTCGACATATTCATCCCGCTGTTTTTGTTTTTATTTTTGTTTTTGGTTGTTTGTTTGGGTTTTTTCCGTGCTAGTGCACTTACTTCTAATACATGAAAGTTATGATAATGTTAAACATTTGATTATAGATAATTTGTTGACGTAGTTACATATGTATATATATTGGGTTCGTAATGATAATGCAACTATTTACAATTTGTTTTTAACAAAATTAGTATACAGATATAGAAAATATGGACAGAAAAATCACATGTCTGATATGACCCAATAAAGCCTACGATATCCTGTATACATACACGTTGTGTATCGACAGATCGTTGTAATGTAGTGATACCGTATTGTGCATTTTACAGCTGGTCAAGCCATAGATTAAGTGTTCAATATAGAAACGAAACAGCTGTTTATTTTTAGTCAATAGATAAACTGAAGGAATGGAAAGCCCGTATAGCTCAGTGGTTAGAGCACTGGTCTCGTAAACCAGGGGTCGTGAGTTCGACTCTCACTGTGGGCAAACTTTAGTTTTCATGAATTGTTCTTTCATGTATGAAATATAATAAAACAAATAAACACGAAAGGATCGGTATGGGAAAGTTGTTTATATGTTGAGATAAAAGGAAACAAAAACATTTCGGTAGTGTCAAAAGTTGGTGGTCGGTTGTGAACAAGTATGGGAAGAATGAAAACGTTATTTGTGAGGGTATCATTTTATTCACACCATAGCCTTTTTCCCAGGAAAAGGGTAATAGATATGGAAAAGGACTTCGGCACGTCAGCAATTAATAGAATCAGTGTGAGTGTATACCAACGTAAATGTATCCACAGTCGATTTTCAAGTATGTCATTCTTGCTTACAGCGCTATTGGTAGTTTCAACGAAGATCCCACACAACTAAGAATTAGACTCAATAACATGACACCTAAACCGTTGATATTCTACTTAAGGTAAGCTAACCAGACTTTATCAATCATTTTAGGTAAAGGTATCGCTAGATCGGTGGAGTATCTGCCTTAAAACCCTCAGACGAAGGTCCTGGGAATGCGGTTCGATCTCTTGAAGCAAGAAATCTCGAGCAACGTGTTTGTTAGCCACGAATTCCTTGAAAGAGCTTTTACAAAAAAAACTTTCAAATCATCTAGTCCAACTTTGCAGGAGCTGCCAATATCACTTTGCTGGGTATGGGTGCTCTTCGCATAAGCTTTGTAGTGTCACTTTTTTATCAGCGCATGCGTTCTACAGTTGCAGTTGTCCGTCTTAGTTTTACGGCATCCGTTGTAAAATGTGAGAAATTTCACCCTATAGAATCTTCAACACTCAGCTGCTCATTATTGCATCCTTCACATAACGCATTTATACATGCAGAAGCCGATTTGACATACTAGTGGCATTAGTTTATGTCTACAAAGGAATTGGAATATCTCCTGGTTCACCAGCTTCCTGCTTCGGCATCTACAGCATCTATAGAGATATTTTTATAGAAGGTAGTGTTGCTTTTTGTGGTGACTCAGACTACCTGTGGTTATCGCAGCTCAGTGGTAAGCACTCTCGTACAAATTAGTGTCAGTGAATTACACGTACAAGACTTCACTCAAAACAGTGTTCACGGCTGCTGTGCACCTACAAGTTTTCTAGCATTCTGCTTCCTGCAGGTTTCATCTCCGTGCCAATCACATCACAAGTACCAAAAATCCTCAAGCAGATTCGTCATCTTGCCTGCATCATCCCTCTTCATTAACTTATGTGGTGGAAACACCATGGCTTACTAGCCTTCTGGAATGATGACATGCTGGGTCATGTTTCCAACAAGTTTGTCTCTCTCCAGTGTTACAGATGAGCCAAGCCACTGAAGTGTAATATTTTGTTCTTTGCAGTTAACATTTTGAATTTGAGGCAAAAAAGTTTGACTCTTGTATTGTGATGTCTTCATTACCAAAATATACCGCTAATTGTTTTAATCACGCCCAAGATTTTATCACCAATTCATGTGATTAGCTAGCATTGTTTCCCAAACTATGATCTGTAATAACAACTACATGTATATAGCTGTCCTTTCATTTATTTGTTTTGAACATCAACTGCCTGTAGACTCCTGCCTAAGCGTTTAAGTAATAGTGCTGGTACAAGACACCTCTTTGCTTAAACAATGGGTTATGTCTGTATTTCCATGATCCGTTGTGTCTTGCAGGGTTAACCGTGCTGGGCATGATTTTTTCTCTTTTTATCCACAATACGAATCTTTGTTCTGTTTTATATTCAACGCTGTGCATGTTAATGAACATAATGTCAAAATATCAGTATTGAGGTTGTCAGGAACACTTCAACATTTAAGATTGTCGTGTAGCTCAGGCGATAGCGTAGAACGTGCAATGTGACGCTGCTTTCCTGTGTGACTTACTGCATGTCTTTATCAAGCATCTATATCACATATAAAATCTGTTTTAGAATCACAACCTGTTATAAGCCAAATTTGGCATTAACCTTACTTCTAAGTTGTGATACGTATCATGTAATAAAATCTTAATTGCGGTTCAGTAACTGACAAAACTGTTGACAATTTTGGTCTCTGTTACCCCTGAAGCTATCTCTTGTTTAAGCATTCTCTTATTGTGTTCTTGTAGTTGTTTGAATCTACCACCTACATAATCGTACTCC